TGTTTAAACTTAAAATTAATTATGATATATATAATTCCATTATTTTGTGAATAGTTTTGGTGCAATATATAATGTGAATATTTTATACTTTAATATTATTTTGCTGTCACTCTTAATGTAAGTTGTCACTCGACTGTAAGGTGTAATCACAACATTTTTATAAAAAAAATTTATGTCTCTATGAAACTCCAATTTAGAGTCACCAAAACGGATTTAATTCTGTAGAATTTAATGTGGATGTTTACACTGATAAATGAGGAGAAATTTATTTTATGGCCTTGGCTCAGCTGCATATTGCTTTGACTGTTGAAAGACTAGCCATCACTGGCTGACTGGCTGATATGTGTAGCCTCAGGGTGCTGGCCTTTGACCTTGGGAGATTTTATAGGCCTTAGATAAATATTGTGCTTAAGTGTCTGGTGTCGGTTGCACTCCAGCCCTCCCCAGTCACCTCATCCATTACTGCTGTTTAAAGTCCAGCCAAACCAGAATAAAAAAGTGTAGCTCCAAATAATATTTAATGTTGAGTTAATTTGCAGGTTAAATAGTTTATTGCTCCCTACCTAGAAGATTAAATAAATATGAATACATTTGTATACATATATTTGGCTATAAGAGACATATCGATCTGAACAATTCAAGACCATTCCACATATTCCCATGTTTCTCAGAGCACATACTGAGGTTTGAATCAATAAATGCAATACATTTGTGAGTGAACCAGTTGAAATAAAAGACCATATCCTCTCTATCACCTGTCAGGCTGCTTTAGGACTTCAGGAGAAGCATTTTGAGGGCGGTGGCGTATCAGTGGTCATTCCGGGTTTGCCCACCCATCTTCTGGGTCCAGTCCCCCTGTCTGTTGCTATGGAGACCAAAGTGAGCAGCAGCCACCAAGCTCTCCTGCAGCACCTCCTCCAGAAAGAGCAACTCCGCCACCAAAAGATCCTCTCTACTGGTGAGAACATCAGAGACTTCGATGTATACGATAGAATAGAATAGATTTTTTTTTAATACAATAGAATAAATCTTTTTTCACAGCTTTCACTTCGCATTAAGTTACAGGTACATTCCCCCCTGGAGCAACATGGGGTTAAGTGCCTTGCTTAACAGCACAATGTCGGTTGCTCCAGATTGTCCCTTGTGGGTTTGAACCTGTAAACTTTCAGCTTGTGGCTTTTTTTTTTCTTTTTCTTTTTTTTAGTTTTTAAAGGAATAGGTCATTATTTGCTCACCCTCATGGCGTTCCAAACCCATATTACTTTTTTTTTCTTTTCTTTCATTTTTCAATGAAATGAATGGGGACCGGATACTTTAAGCATAAAAAAGCAACATGAAAGGAGCAAAGTCTTCTGAAGTCATGCGATAGCTTTGTCTTATGAACATACTATGCTAACCATTGCAACCTGGTCACTGAGACTAAGGCTCGAATACACAACATGGCTTTTCAAATCTAAACAGATTTAAAACACTGACTTTGTAAACTGTTACAGAGAAAAAAATGAGCATCATACACTAAACGATCACATACTACCAGACTTTCAAGTTGTTCTGAACACAGCAAACTCAAGCAGAATCTTGGGCCTTGTTGCTTTGACGAATGACAAATGTAAACAATATGTGTTCTAAAATAGTCTGAAAATCTCAAATATGTTTGTTATTCTCAGACTGGATAGGTCTGAAGTCTGAAGGAAGTCATTGCCCATCATTAAAAAAAAAAAGGTGTGAAGTGACATGTGGCCAAGTATGGTGACCTATACTAGGAATTACAACTCAAATCTGTAGACTCACTGTAGTCTCACTTTCAGCGGTTAGTGTCAATTTGCCCAGACCGTAAATTGGGGGGGGGGGGGTCTGAAATCATTCAGACTTCTTTGGGAATTGGACCAACTGATTCAACCTAAAAGAATGATTCATTCATAAATTGAGCATCACTTGTTCTATTGGGGAACATGCTAAGGAGATCTAGAGTGAGTAAATAGTGATAAATTTCATTTTGGGGTGAACTGTTCCTTTAAATGAAATGAAACTTTTATTCTATTAGATTTGTATTAACCAGATCCATACATTTTCTTGCATAGGTCAAAGTCCTGTGCATCCCCCTTCTCCGCTGGCCATGATGGAAAGCTCTCCGAGCAGCACCCGACCCAAACTGCCTCGTCACCGGCCCTTAAACCGAACCCAATCTGCTCCGCTGCCCCAGAGCACACTAGCTCAACTTGTGATTCAGCAGCAACACCAAAACTTCCTGGAGAAGCAGAAACAGTACCAGCAACAGGTCCACATCAACAAGGTACGATCATTAAACCGACCTGTCAGTGTAACAATGATTTTAGTGCTATCGTGGGAAGATGAGGATGAAGCTTGTTCTAATTTATTCTTGTTACGTTGTCATCCTAAAGCACAGACATTTTCCTTGAAATACCATTCAGCTCACATGGGAACTAAAGTTGGACAGCCCATCTCCATTATGTGAGGGAAAAACCTGTTCTGGGTTCAGAAGCGACACTTGATTTAGCATAGCTTAAGACATCGGTTGCATGCTAACACCACAAAATTGCACAGGGACAAGTTCAAATGGGCACCAAAGTGGATAGAATACATACTTTTTTCCCCCTGTGGAAATATTTGTGTTTCTGTGCACCAGCAGCCATGACCTGGCCATCCGTTTAAGTGCAATTATTCTGCAACACATGCAAGCCAAGCAACACGGGAGGCTCGCGCTGTGAAAGACTCCATTGTTAGCAGGAGCTTGCAGATTGATATGCCTTATTATTGCTGAGAGTGCTATGGGAAATTCAAGGTTACAAGTGCAATTTTCAGACATGAAGATCAAAAGTGCCCAGAGAGCACTTGTTTTGGCTATTTATTATTGTGGCCTTAGTCACTAAGGCCATGCACAAAAATGTCTGGTCTGGGTCATGAATGACTGGTATAGTTGTGTGACTGTTGTTTGACATTTGCTAACTGATTTGTTTTTCATGTTCAAATCATGTGAATTGTAACAAATCAAATCATGTTTACATTCAACATTTTTAAATGCAGAGTGCATAACAAAAGCAGTTTAAAACAGGTTCTTAGAAATGTAGTCTTTGTGTTCATGTTGGTGTCATATGAAATTGAAAGTCTCAATTTACTGACTCTAAAAATGTAATGTGGTTAAACCATCAAGTAATAAAACATTTTACCTACACCTTGAATACATGCGAGTGTATGCAAATAATTACTTAAAAAAACTTTTTTTGTATGTTTTTGAAAGTAAATTCATGAATTATTAATTCACACATATCAAAGTTTTTGGGGAATCATATCACATGATATTTTACAGTCTGAACTAAAGGTCAATCTGATATTTTTTAAGGAGGTTTTTACCTTGACACACACAGTTATGATGAGTTAAGATATCATTTCATGTTGTATTTTTTTTTCAGCATGTTGGTTGCATCATATGACTCCGATTTGGCAAACACAAGTTAATATTAATAAACAATGAAGCTAAAATATTCTTTTCTAAGAAAAGGTAATATATTATTCCAAACTATTTAAGCATTACATTTCAAGAATTTAATTATTTTAATTAATCTTTTTTCTTTATTATGACAGTTGTATCACTCTAACATTTCTAACTTTACACCCCCCCCCCCCCCCTTTATTATGGCAGTTGTATCACTCTAACATTTCTAACTTTACCCCCCCCCCCCCCAAAAAAAATATCAAAATTAATTTTAATTCAGAAATTCAAACATGCTCATCATTGAAGAGATGTATTCAAATCTTATTTATGAATTGCATTTATACGTATTTTAAATAAATTAATAGATCCTACAAAACAAATGAGCATCATTTAATTGACCCTGCAATTTGTTCCAGAGCAAAACTGAATTCTGTTTGTACCATAAACCGATAAACTCATAAGCAACTCCTAAATATTCTCACTAATTATTAACAAGTAAATAATCTCTTTTTGGACAGTCTGTAACCCTAAACTGTTGTAGCTAGGAGTAATAAATTATTTCTGAGAGAAATGAGGTCATGAATGTTGTGAAATCAGGGATTAGCTTTCTGGTTTAGTAACTGAATGTTTTACCTGCGCTAAATAGGGCACCTGTGTAATTTTACATCCGCTTACAAGCTTTAGTGGGAGATATAAAAAGTATTTTACTCATTCTGGAACACAGTGACTATATTTACTTGACATAGGATATATTTATATGAGGCTCACTGTTTTGTTGCTATTCAGTGTTGTGAATGAGTTCCAATTCTAGTAAATGACAGTGTTTGTGTTGCCTGAGTTGGCATAGGGACAGTAAATGGCTCATTGACTGACACAATTATGTGACAGAACATCCAATAATAAATCATGTTTCTCTTCTCCCATAGATGCTTTCGAAATCAATTGAGCAGCTTCGTCAGCCAAATGTCCACCCGCAGGAGTCAGAGGAGGAAGAGGGAGAGGATTTTTATGACCAGGCCATGCAGGAGGACAGCTCGCCCTCTGTTGGCGTCATCCGGAAGTACAGTCCCGACAGCAACCGCAGCAACACCTCCGCTTCACCCACCGAGCCACTGGACACTGTCATCCGGGTGAAAGAGGAGCCCAATGCCAGTGATGATGAGACAATGGCCACTCAGAGCCTGGCCGAAAAGCAGAGCTCCTACATTCACTATGTTAAAGGCAGGATGGTGATCCAGGCCATGATATGAAACGACAGATACATCTTCACACTCGCACACGAAGGCACAGGCTAACATACACACGACATGCTTACACGACACAGAGCCATCGCTTTGTGAGCTTCAGAAGTGATCTCATTCGTGAACTTGTTTAGTGATCTCTGTATTGTACGTTGTATGTTTTGTATATAATTGAATACGATGAGAATTTAGCCAACTTGGTCTTTTAAATGCTAAGAAGCAGTTTTTGATTGTTTGTTGATAGTTGATAATTTAAGAAATCCTTTCTACTTTCTACCCACTCTTTGGAAAACAGCAACTCAAAGCTCTTGTAGGATATTTCTGTGATTTTCCCCATGGCACTATGGATTACTTATAGATCTTTCTTTGCTTTTTATGAATGTTATTATAAAGATATGTCACAGTTTGTATGATGAAAAAAAATGAGAGACTCCCAAATTGTTTGGAAACAAGTCAGTAACCATGAAAATCCACACAACGACAGAATAAAATGAATATTCTAGGTTCAACACAAGTTAAACTCAATCGACAGCACTTGTAGGTTAATGTTGATTACCACAAAAAATATAATACAATATAATAATTTTATAAAAATTGTAATTAATTGTTCTATTGAAACGTGTCTATTATTTGTGCTGTAAAGTTCTTGTCACCATATTTATGGTCATTTTTGGGTTTTAGACATTCTGTTGTAAAATGGCAGCGCAGTTATAAAACTCAACATAACTTTGAACAGAAAAGGTTAGTAAGCAAATTTTCATACTTCAATCATGTTAAAAACACAGCATATTGTTTACATACTATTGAAATGGTAAGTATTTTAACAAATTGGCCTCATTCATTTTTTGCATTGTTGTAGTAGTCGATATTGTGCTAAGTGCTGTCGATTAAGCTTAACTTTTATTGAAACCCGGAATATTCCTTTAACAGTTAGAACAAGATCTGGAAAGCTCTAGAATGACATTCTGTGTTCCCTGTTCTCCTGTGGCCCAAACCGAAGGCTGCCCTGGATTGTGAGCAGCGCTCTGCTCCTTGCTGAATTCTGAGAGGTAGAGAGTTGTAGAGGAAATGCCTGGTGGAAGCCAGGAATCAGAATGATTCATGAGCGTAGGCATGCTGGGAGAGGACAACTCCACGCTGAAGTCAAGCGGGCCCAGCAGTGAGCTCTGATTTACTGTTGAGGCAAATTACAATGTGAGTGAGGAGACGGCGGGGGGAGCCCCCTTTTAAAGCCAATCATTTCCTCTGTATTCCCACGTGATGTGTTTACCATGACATATAGGCTTGATGTTACTTCGGTAGAAAAAAAAGGTAATCGTTCTGTTCTTTCCTGAGGCAGTGTTGCCAGGCCGTCTTCATGAAGTGCTCGGTTCAACTTGCGTGATAGTTTCAAGAAATGTACTATCGTAATTTTTTGTTAGCGAGCCATCTTTCCTGTATTTTTCTATTTTTATTTCAAGCATTTGGTGTAAAACTGTTCAGTTTTGTGACTGAGATCCTCTGAAAAACATTAAAAAAAAACAACTCAAAGAGGAAAACACGTTTAATTGATGTGAGCCATCACTCTGTCTACAAATAGCCTGTGAGTCAACCTGAGCTGGCCTGTTTCGTTCCTGTTGTCTGTTCCACTGTTCTGGATGTTAATAAGAACTGTCCGCTAGCGATATAATGTCACATTTAGTACGCGTTCCCTTCTGTCAAAGATAGGAGACGGCGGGGGGAGCCCCCTTTTAAAACCAATCATTTCCTCTGTATTCCCACGTGATGTGTTTACCATGACATGCAGGCTTGATGTTACTTCGGTAGAAAAAAAAGGTAATCGTTCTGTTCTTTCCTGAGGCAGTGTTGCCAGGCCGTCTTCATGAAGTGCTCGGTTCAACTTGCGTGATAGTTTCAAGAAATGTACTATCGTAATTTTTTGTTAGCGAGCCATCTTTCCTGTATTTTTCTATTTTTATTTCAAGCATTTGGTGTAAAACTGTTCAGTTTTGTGACTGAGATCCTCTGAAAAACATTAAAAAAAAAACAACTCAAAGAGGAAAACACGTTTAATTGATGTGAGCCATCACTCTGTCTACAAATAGCCTGTGAGTCAACCTGAGCTGGCCTGTTTCGTTCCTGTTGTCTGTTCCACTGTTCTGGATGTTAATAAGAACTGTCCGCTAGCGATATAATGTCACATTTAGTACGCGTTCCCTTCTGTCAAAGATCACCTTTTTTAAATAAAGTTATTTTCCATCCTGTACTTCTCTGGACAGTCTTTTCACCGGGTATGTTTAATGAGCGAATTTCCTAAATAAACAGAATTGGAGTATGTAATGCAGTTGCTCTCTGACAAAGTTTCCCACAGTCAGCCAGAGTCCGGCTTCTCTCTGATTCTGAGGGCGATACAGGGTTTTAGTCTCTGACTTCTAAGGCTTTCGGAACGGGGCTTTGAAGTTAACATGAGAGGTTCCCTAAGTCTGCATTAAAGCTGTTAAGATAAAGTGAACTTCAAGACGGTGATATATAACCTGGGTTAAAGCGACCAGGCCAAGTTTAACCAATTATGCAGGGTAGGCTTAGCCGGAGCTCGGACAATTCTCAGTCTGAACCAGCAATGCAAACGCAGTGTGCCACCTGTAATAGTCGATGTATTGGTGTGTTTCAGTTTGACCAGCTCATGTCTCAATTGTTTTATTCAGTCATTTTGAATCTGGAGAGATGGACTGATATCAAATAACACAATAAAGGGCACATTTTTTGAACACTTGTGCTGCAGGTCTTATTATCTTGAATATTCAGTATTAGTGACTGATTGGCAATTTTATATGATATATTCTAAAAGTTTGATTATATTTTGGCAGATGTTACAGAACATCAACCCAAATATTTTTGACTATAAAACTATCAAATTTAATCAATTAATTTAATATAGAAATGAATATAAAGAATTATTTCCTGCTCTCTGACAATATTAACTAATTAAAAACTAAAAAGTTCATGTCTGAGCCACTGGCAGGACCAAATGGGTTTGCAAACATAATAGCACTTTTCAAACAGAGTTCATGGACACACCCCTCATATGTCATTGGCTGATGAACCGATAGTCCCACCTCAAACAAAAATAAATCTTTTGAAGACAAGAAAAAAAAACAGTTTATTCAGTTTATTTTTGATTTTTTCTGTTACACTTAAATTGTCTTTGCATATTAAGCTAGACTAGGTGAATGTATTTTACTATTCACTTCAACACTCAAACATTTTTTTTTCTGTCAATAGAAAATGTAATGTTATATTAGGATTTTATTAATTTATTTAGCTGTCTAGTAAGTTTAGCTTGCTGGTATGAATGCATTATCTAACCAAATAAATATAGCAATGATTTACAGTAATAAGATATGAAATAGTCACTTTTTTGGCACATTTTACAGTGTTATGAACAGAAAAAGTCAAGTCTAGTATTTCTAGTATCTGACAGTCCACAGTCCAGAAAAGTTTTTTTTTTCTTCAGTGGACTGGTGTGAATGTACTGATGCCAGTGAGATGGTGGAATTAGATGTGTGTGTGTGTGTGTGTGTGTGTGTGTGTGTTTCTTTGGTCCTTTTCATTTGCTGCTAGCAAACTCAAGGTGTGATTCAAGACTGCTGACACTGTCCTGGCAGCCAATAAAGGAAACGTTTCTTTTCAAGAAAGAGTTACAAAACGCCCACCCGGGATCCAAATTGGTATCAAATAAAAAGGAGTGTGAACTGTAAAGGCTCCTCTCTGGTGTGGAATCATTTATTTTGGAGACACATCTATGCCCAGTTCTCTTGGGCCCGGTGTTGGTGTTATTTTTGCAGCCTGTCAAACCAAATGTACATGGTGTGCCGTTCAATTGTTCGGCTGCTTCCAAGTTGGCTGACTGTGATTGACTGGCAATAAACTATGCTTGCTTAACTGACAGATCATGGGCATTACATCAATGGAGAAATTCTGTCATTGGATTCATCATGAGACATATAATATATCTGCAAAGCAAAATATATGAGTGGTAACTGCTTGATGGGGACGCTGTGGCTCGTGGTGGGTTATCATTACCCATTATGTAAAGCTATTTGGTGGTTTTGCAACGTTTCACATTGTATGGTCAAGACCTCATCCAGTAGACGTCAGTGTATTGCAAGCAGCCAGAATGGGAGAGTAAGACACTGGGACAGTGAGTTCTCGTCTCGCCCTTTGCTGTCAGGGAGAACTGGAGTTCCCCACCCTCAATGATTGAAAACGATGAAACGCTGCCATAACTTTGACCCACAGAAATGTTGTCGTCGCACTGGCCAGCGTCATACAACCCGTTATCGTGACTCAAACAGCATTGATCTTCCCTGTCATGTTTAATGAGGTAAGCGAATGCAGAAGGGGATGTTCAAAGAGCAGGCGGCGTGCGGGACCTGCTGTATCTCACAGTCAGATTGGTCGGGCTGATAGGTGAGGGTGAGGAAGAGCAGTGGCCCGGGATAAGGGCTCCCCTGGGAAGATCTGACTGCACTCCAATTCGTGAGGGCCAACATCCTAGCTAAGAATTTTGTTTTAAGAACATTTTGTAATGTTGCCATTAAGTTTAACATTTTTGCTAGTTTATTCAAACATTGTGGGTAACATTATAAAATGTTTGATTTTCTCATTATGCAAATACACCACAAAAGTGTTGCGTTCAAACTGACAATGTTTGACATACTTCAACCAAACAAAGTTCAATATAGCTAAAAACATTAAACATGATTGGACAAAAAATACAGTCTAACAACAATAAAACAGAGGTACTTACAAACCAATGAAACACTGCAGACTAAACTTTAATAATTAATGGAATAGTTCACTGAAAAATGAAAATTTGCTGAAATGTACTCTCTGTCAGGTCATCTAAGATGTAGATGAGTTTGTTTCTTAATATGTACAGATTTGGAGAAATGTAACATTACATCACTTGCTCACCAATGGATCCATCAATAGTGTCGTCAGAATGAGAGTCCGAACAGCTGATAAAAATATGATGATAAAAACATTCTGACGGCACCCATTCACTGCAGCGGATCCATTGGTGAGCAAGTGATGTAATGGCAAACATAATAGCACTTTTCAAACAGAGTTCATGGACACACCCCTCATATGTCATTGGCTGATGAACCGATAGTCCCACCTCAAACAAAAATAAATCTTTTGAAGACAAGAAAAAAAAACAGTTTATTCAGTTTATTTTTGATTTTTTCTGTTACACTTAAATTGTCTTTGCATATTAAGCTAGACTAGGTGAATGTATTTTACTATTCACTTCAACACTCAAACATTTTTTTTTCTGTCAATAGAAAATGTAATGTTATATTAGGATTTTATTAATTTATTTAGCTGTCTAGTAAGTTTAGCTTGCTGGTATGAATGCATTATCTAACCAAATAAATATAGCAATGATTTACAGTAATAAGATATGAAATAGTCACTTTTTTGGCACATTTTACAGTGTTATGAACAGAAAAAGTCAAGTCTAGTATTCCTAGTATCTGACAGTCCACAGTCCAGAAAAGTTTTTTTTTTTCAGTGGACTGGTGTGAATGTACTGATGCTTGTGTTCTGATAGCGGTGTGATGGTGGGATTGTAGGTGTGTGTGTGTGTGTGTGTGTGTGTGTGTGTGTGTTTTTCTTTGGTCCTTTTCATTTGCTGCTACCAAACTCAAGGTGTGATTCAAGACTGCTGATACTGTCCTGGCAGCCAATAAAGGAAACGTTTCTTTTCAAGAAAGAGTTACAAAACCGTTCAAACTGACAATGTTTGACATACTTCAACCAAACAAAGTTCAATATAGCTAAAAACATTAAACATGATTGGACAAAAAATACAGTCTAACAACAATAAAACAGAGGTACTTACAAACCAATGAAACACTGCAGACTAAACTTTAATAATTAATGGAATAGTTCACTGAAAAATGAAAATTTGCTGAAATGTACTCTCTGTCAGGTCATCTAAGATGTAGATGAGTTTGTTTCTTAATATGTACAGATTTGGAGAAATGTAACATTACATCACTTGCTCACCAATGGATCCGCTGCAGTGAATGGGTGCCGTCAGAATGTTTTTATCATCATATTTTTATCAGCTGTTCGGACTCTCATTCTGACGACACTATTGATGGATCCATTGGTGAGCAAGTGATGTAATGCTAAATTTCTCCAAATTTGTTCTGATGAAGAAACAAACTCATCTACATCTTGAATGGCCCTTGAATAGTGAGTACAATTTTAATTTTTGGGTGAAGTATCCCTTTAACTCACTGACATTTAAAGAATGTTACATTAACAATGTTTGAATTTCATGATATGGTTTTGAGAAAGCGTTACTACAAGAGCATTTTGTTTGTAATTTTAAGAGAACCATTGCAGGACATTGTGAGGTATGAGGGAGTCTATAAGAGAAAGAGAAAAAGAAAGGGGAGAAAGAAAAT